ATCACATACCCTAGATCCAGCCATCTCTGAAAAGCCCCACCTATGACCACAAGAGGCTTTGGGAGGCCATCTAGACACAAACCATAACAGAGGGCAAAGGAAAATTGGTGATAAGACTCCAAACTCTGACCCAAAAATAGTAAAACTAAAAAATGCACCAATACAGGACCAAAAGGGAAAAACTGGGTTAACAAAGGGAGAATTAGAAAACAGAAAAGTGTTGCTACAGACTTCCAAAGGATTTTTTTTTTTTTTTTTTTTTTTTTTTTTATTTAGAGTCACTCTTGTTATTTTGGAGACAGGTTCTCACTATATAGTCCAGGCTGGCCTTGAGCTCGTGGCAGTCCTCCCACCTCAGCCTCCCAAATGCTGGGATTACAGGCATGTGCCATCACGCCCAACTACCAGAAGAATGTTTTCTTCCCAGGGCCTGTAGTCTTTAACCTTACAAGCCCCTTTCCTCTTAGCCCTCTTCACAGTCGGGGTTTATGTGGAGGTTTGGACCCCTCTCCATAACTCCTATTTGTGACAACTGTCCAAGCGGGGGTAGCAGCCCAGGAAAGATGTGGGGCATTGGATTCTGAGGTTCCTGGCATGGGTTCCTGCTGGTTGGGGACCAGCCCTGGGCCCCTGATGTATATTCCAGGGTCCATAGAAGCAGCTTCAGCCATCAGGTGGAGGCTCAGGTGTCTCAGGGTGCCCAGAGAGGCAGGTGCACCCAAGCCAAATGTGGGGCAATTCCAGCAGGCCCAGTGAGGGTGTAGGGTGCCAGGTGGTGTCTCATTTTTCTGGAATCCAACTCAGGCCAAAATCTGCAACACTGCTGTCACTACAAGTTATACGTCCCACAGTCTAGACGTTGCATACGTCTGCCTGGCCTCTTGCTTTTCCACTGTGCATTTTTAGCTTCTTGTTCCCAGTCCATAGCACTGCCACCTCACAAAGCGCCTGACACGGGCCACTCACCTGGGCCAACATACAGCACGTTTCTGCTGCACCACCAACTATGGGTAGAAGATTTTTATGGACCAGGATCTACCTGGGTATGGCAAAAATGTGCATGACAGCAGCTGACTTAATTACTTTCTCACCCACAACTTAAAGGAGAGTTTCTTTTGGCTTACGGTTTCAGTCCATGGTCCCTGGGCTCCAAGGCAGAGATAGCGTGGTAAAAGGGCCAGGGTAGAGAAAAGCTGCTCACATCACAGAGACAGGAAGCAGAGAGGAGAAGCCAGGGGTAAGAAAGCACCCCCCAGTGACCACCTCCAGCCAGGCTCCTCCTGACAGCCCATTCAGCTCCAAACATGTCAGTGGGTAAATCCACTGATGAGTATAGCACATCATGATCCAATCACCTTCCCCACACACAAGACTTTGGGGGGTGTTTTAGGTCTAAGCCATCACCGTGGGTAACATTAATCCCCCTCCTCCATTTCCCACGACACTGCCCTGCGTGTCTGTGATACAGAAAAAGGTGTGTGGGTAAGCATGCTGCTTGTCTCTTAGCTTGTGCCTTCCTGGGTAGAACCTGGGCCTCCTAGAGTCCCAGAGGGACAACACTGGAGCAGGGCTGTCCTCGTGGACCCAACCTGCTCCCCTCCTACAGAGGCAGAGTCAGGACAGAACCTCCTCAGACCCCAGCATCATCTTGAGATGTGGACCAGCCAAGCACAGTAAAGTAAAGGTGTCCAGCACAAGCTGGTGGATGGTGGCCTGTAGGCGTCAGCAAATGACAGCAGCCCTAAGGGCCTGGGATAGTCTGGATGTTAAAACCTGAGGCAATCAGGAAACTTTGGTCTTGGGCAGAATGCTGGAGGCTTGGTTTTCAACAGGCTGACACCACCCCTTAGGAGACATGCTGGAAATGTGAGAACTTTCTAGTCATCATGAGTGGCCCGTCCTGGAATGGACATATCACCATGCAAAGATTCATCATGTATTTGACGTGGCTTCAGAATTTATCCAACATTCACAGAGATGAAAAGTATTTATGATCATTTGAGCCTGCAACAAACTATTTTTTGCACATTTTAAACAAACACTGTATTTCCCAGGAGTGCAATTAAGCTGGGGGAAGTGTATATACTTTGTTTTCTTGCAAAACTTACCCACATGTAGCGCTGTCCCACTCACGGTGGCTGTCCCAAGCACATGGTTATCATTTGGTAGACCCTTTGTAGGATAATAAAAGTTTTCAAAAGAGGGGTTTGGGACTGGTTAGGTTAAGCTGAGTGTGCCCGAGTAGGCTAAGCGTCCCTGATGCCCAAGTGTGCCCAAGGATAGTGGCAGCTGCCCAGCAGTAGTAGCCCCAGGCAGTGCTGGAACAGGACAGCACGGCGGCCAGGAAGGAAGGGAGCGTCCTGTTCCAGGCAGCAGCCACTGCAGGGCCCAGTGTGCCGGAAAGGTGCACTTTGGGCATCAGAGGAGGATTATCCAGTTTCTACAAAGACAAGGCATGGAAACCAGTCCCATGTGAAGGACAAATCGCCATGTACAAGATGTGATCAAGAAGTACTCTAGCCGGGAGTTGTGGTGCACACCTGTAATCCCAGCACATGGGAGGCTGAGGCAGGAGGATCACAAGTCCAGGCCAACCTGGATGACATAGTGAAACCCTGTCTCAAAAAAAGAAAAAGAAGTACTCTGTTTAATTACACTACAAGATACATTGCCATCAATCCTCCTCAAAATCTTCCCCTCCCTCTGAACCCACTTATCATTCATACCACTCTGAAGCAGGTCCGGAAGTCCTCTTCGTGTGCCTTTACATGTGTGATCAAAAACGCAGTGAATGCTGCTGCTCAGTGCCATCCCATGGAAAGGCAGGCCCATAAAAACATCAGTGTGTTCTCATCTACACTATTCACTGGATGACTTCTGGCCCTTCCCAAGTCAAAATGACCGCAAAAGGGAAATGTTTCTAATCAATTCGGGATACTGAGGCAGCCAGACAGTACAACTAAAGACCCTCAGAAAGCGGACTTCCGGAACTGCCTCAGAAAGTGGCAAGAACAATGGGAGAAGTGTCTGAAGTGAGGGAGACGATTGTGAGAGGTATTACGGCTGTGTTCACTGTAGTAAATTCTTTAAAATATAAACAGTCGCCATGTTTTGACCACACCTCATACACATAAACATCCTCTAGGGGCTTCTCATAAACTCGATGAGTGCCTGAGACACCACGGCACAAGGGCACCTTAGTTCTGGTTTTCCAGAGGCACAGGAGGGCTAGGCCACTTCAGCTGCCCAACACAGCACGCATGGAAGAGTCAGCGCCTGCCTGGGCTCCCACCCACCGTGCTGTGCTTCAGGGCCAAGAACTCCAGTCTTTTCTGGACCAGTGACAGAGCAGCTCCCTGCCTGGCCTCTGGCACACACATGCTCCAGGGCCACTGTGGCTGCAGTGTGCAGGATCTGGTCCTGGAGTGAGGGGTAAGCCCTGAGGCCCCCCTCCTTCCATCCAGCGATGAGCCAGAGGCCCCGAGCACCAGGACCACATGCAGAGCCTCCCTCTGAACCAACTCATCCCTCCCAGGATGCCCCGGGACCTCTCCAACTGAGTGCTGGTCATCTTCCCCAGCACATCTGCCACTAGACCACTTATATATATGCTCACGGCGGCCGCCCTCCCTGGAAGGTAAGGGCCAAGAAGACAAGCACTTCATCTGTGAACTTCTAGTCTCCAGCCCCTGCAACCCTGACTGGCACAGAAGAGAAACCCAGGAAATATTTGCTACTGAAGAAGCAAAACCACTTGACAGAAAGAGACTGGATAGCGAAAGCCAAACCAAGCTTGCCCTTTCCCCTGCCTGTGGCACAGCTAACTGCCATCTGTTCTTGCAATCTGCAAGCCACTCTCACCCATTCAAGATCACCCACCAGCACAGCGGAAGTCTGGGTGCTCCACGGTGAAAAGGTGGGCTCTACAAATAGGCAGAGTCTTTGAGGCAGCAACTAAGCTCACAGTGCTCCTGATGGACCGCGCAGCGCATTCGTTCCACAGCTCTCAAGTCCCAGTCAGTCTGTGGGAAAGCCCAGCAGGAAAAGGAACTGCTTTGCAAGTGAAGCCTTTAACTGGAGAACACCGTCCTGTGAGATCTTACACAGGCTGTGTGACGCAAAAGGGAAATGCAAGCTCTTACAGGCTTAGTCTGTGCTATGATGGACGCAAACCCGCACACTCAAAGACAAGCGGACAAGTGAGGGCACAGCCAGCAGACCAGGGAGGACGAGGTACCAAAGCCGAACAAAGGGCCCGAGGAGGTCCCAGCCTGCTACACCCAGGCCTTGCACCAACTTCATGCCCCTGGCACCTACTGGGGTGAGGGAAGGGACAGACACCTCTGTCCCGTGAAAAAGGGAGGAATGTGCTTTGTAAACGCGCTCTCCTTTGAGCAGCAGAAGCTGTGGAGGCTGCTGTATGTCATGGCCAACGTCAGCGGTGCCCACAGGTGTCTTTAAAATGCTGTGCCGAGTCAGCGCTCCCTGTCCCGCTGTGTGTTTCACGCCTAAGCCTTCTGGCAGGGTATGGGTCTGGTCGTGAGCATCTGTTGGTTTTATTAACCACAAAAGGCTCTGTGCTTTCAGGGAGAAGACCTAGGTCTTGGTGAGGCCACCTTAGCATTACACATTGCCAAGCCTCATCCCAACACCAGGCGATACTTCAGGGGAAAAAAGCTACAACAGGCCCTCAACTGCTTACTGCATATGTTCTTTCCGTACAAAACACCCATCAAGCCAGATATGGTGGCACACACCTGTAATCCCAGCACCCTTGGAGGCGGAGGCAGAAGGACCCCAAGTGCTAGCCTACCTGGGCAACTTAGCAACTTAGTGAGACCTTGTCTTAAAAGACAAAAAGAGTGAGGATGTAGCTCAGTGTGAAGGCCCTGGGTTCGATCCCCAGTACCGTAAAACAAAACAAAACCCACAAAAACGTACAGAAACACACACAAAAACCCACACACCCATCAGACTAGTGGAAAAGAAGACACAGCAAATAAATCCTGATGTTTTATTCTCTAAAGCACATATGCACATATTCCAAACACAGAAATTAATCAGGGAGTGGATGCCATAACAGATCGGCTACCATCATGCAGCAAGGTAAGTGGAATGCATCCGCTGGCCCTCGTAACCCCACAGTGCCTGCAGGAGGGTTGAAAAACCAGAACACTGAATCCCTACACACTGCCCAAGAAAATGCAACTGAACGGCAGGTTCCTAACAATGCGAGAAACTTACAAATAGAATCAAAACTGATTCAAGTCATACAGTGAAAGGACAAAAGGAAAAAGGAAAGAGATCAATATGATCTGAAACAACCGTTTTAATAGGAAGTCACTGACCTTTCACTGGCCCTCCAGTCCAAGGTGCCTGAGGATGAGCCTGTGCGCGGTGGGGCCACCCCTGAAGGGCAGCCTGGCCCCCTCCAGAACACTCCCCCGTTCTGAGGTCCATGGGGAGGCACAGCCACGGACTGGGCCCGCACACGCGGCCCAGCAGTAACAAGGCGCCCTGCCTCTCCTGGGCTTCTGTGGCAGCCTCTTCTAGAGCCGTGGCCTCCCCACTCCCCGCCCTCCTTCACACACCTGCTCAGCTCTGCGTTCCTGCAAGATCTCTGAGAATGACCTGCTACAGTGAGTGCTGGGTTTTAACTTGTGTGTCCTGGCCGCAGGACAAGTCATACTGATCTGGCACTTTTGGCACATCCTCATGCCTAACAGTGTTTCTCCCTTGGCTACAGATTCCAGCCATTCCCTGTCATTAAAACAAGGGCAATTAAGATTTGCAATGAGCTGGACTGAACAAACCAATGAAACTGATTTTTTAACTTGTCTTTTAGCCTGTTGTATTACTCTGCTAATTATGAGCCTATCCCTATAACTCCACTTTACTGGGACTTTACTAAGTCAGTAGCAGCTTGATCTAAAGTCTGATAGTCCTAAGGATATTGACACTTCTAAAGGCCAAGCCAAATGGCTCTTTCTAAATCATGTCTCATAAGGGTTTCAAAGTCTCTAAAGAGAAAACTAAAATAAAATGTTAGCCATGCCTCATGTAAGCAATCATATCATACCAAAAAGAATCAGAAACAAAAAACTGGTTAGACAAGTATGATCACTGCACTTGAAATGTACTGAGGAAAAAATGGAGTACTAACATATCAAGTTACTATGGCGATTATTTTAACAATCTTCAATAAAGCCCACAACTTTTCCTTTCAAGAATGCCTGGGATAGAATGTTCCAGGTCAACAAATTTCAGACTACAGGAACTCCTTCTAATTTAAGCAGACAGAAACAGAGCTACAGTGCTGACAGTCACGTCCAAGGTCTTAATTGCCCTCCTGCTCTAAAGCTGTGTGGGAGAACACAGACACCACTGACGACATGACTTATTAAGGCAAAGAGTTGTCAACAAAAACAAGTAACAAGAAAGGACTGGAATAGATAATGTTCGAGCTTCTAAAAATGAAAGAGAATGAAGAGGGCAAAAGGACCAAGGAGCTAGATGATCAAAATGTTCTAAGAAAAATTCTTTTGGTTGTCCTTGATAAACAGTAAATCGGGGGCTGGGGAGATAGCTTAGTGGTAGAACACTTACCTAGTATGTTCAAGGCCCTCAGTTCAATCCCCAGCACCACACACACACACACACACACACACACACACACGAAACAGCCAATCAGAATTTCATTCCTTCAAATTTTACAGGCACTGTGTTCATCATGTGATAGATCTAGTAGATGCCATCTTCCTTTGAAGATGTTCACTGCATAAAAATCCAGGGAAAATGTTTTGTTTTTTTTAAAAAAAGAAAGTTTATCTCCTTTTCAAAAAAAGAAAGAAACCCTTTCATGACTACTAAACCACGTTGTCATCCTTTCTTTCCACACTGCCATGTGCATGCCAGGAATAGGACAGCTAACTGCGATTCCACCCCAGACCCATGGCCTGATGTCTAGGCCCTTGGGAGTGAGGGAGCTGCTTTAACTTTTATAATAGGGGGCGGGGTGCGGGGAGAACATTCTGTGCCAACTCAAACAAGACTGGGTTCCTCACCATCATGGAAAATGAAACTTAAGATCTTTACCATCTAGTTGACTTTTAAATATTTAACTTTTTACTCTGGAGGAAAGCACAAGTCTGTCCTAACTAGACAGTATTAAAATGTGACTATTTTAATTTTTCTTCAAAAAAAAAAAAAAAAAAAAAACACTTAGGGATGTTTCCTTGCAAGCAAAATGAAGAATAGGGTATTGTTGTTGTTACTGTGATTATTAAGCCACAGACACAATAAAATCCACAAAATGGATTGGTGGCTTTGGAAATGCAGTATCATATCAAAGGTGCAGACTGTTTCAAACATCTTGTACATATCAGGCTGAAACAAGAACGGAAGCAAACCTCAACCCCACCAGCGAGGAAGCACACCGCAACCCTGGTGAAGACACGACCTGCTCCGTGATGCAAGATCCTCAAGTCCCCTCTAGTGTTACACAGAAGTCTCCCAGGTCCAGGGGTGAGGTCGAAGGGTTCTGGCTGCACCCAGTGCAAAGCACGTGCATCATTGGACCAATTTCTGAATAGATTTTTATAAATATGTACAAATCAGTTACAGGCACTTGAAATGTCTTTGGCTGGAGTAACCCAACACTGCAAGATCATGTGTTTGGAGTGGCCAGGCCCTGGCTGGGGTCCGCAGGCAATGATGATGGTTCTTTCAGTCTCTCTCCAAAGACAAGGAGGTGTGAGATTAGGCATCAGCCAAAGCCACCTAGAGGAAACCAAGACAGGCAATCCAGTCACACAGAAAGCCTGGGGAATTCAGCCCCAGGGGGACCCTTCCCAAAGGCCTGGCCAGACTGAGGGACTACATCCACCAGGCAGGGGAGTCCTACACCCCTAAGAAAACAATTCAGTCTAGAAAGAAATGAACAGAAATCTGAAGTCTTCTCCAGGAAGGAGCCAATCTGTGGAACTCCTATGCTGAGATAAAATTGACTTTTTGAACCCTGATTAGCAGCACTGTTAAGGTGAGTCTCTCCCTAAGAGATATACAGGGAAGGCAGCCTAACCAGGGTGAGCAATTTGCAATGGACAATTCGGAATAACTGATGTAGACAAGTATGAGGTTGAAAACCCACCACCATAATACAGGCTAAGGACGGTTTCCAGTGACAAGCCAGGAACTGATTCCTTCGGGGTCAAGGTAAGGACTGACTGAGATATCTGTACGCTGAGACCTCTAGCAAACACAGGACCAGGACTGTCCACTGCTCACCTTCTCAGGGCAAAATTCAGGATTGCTCTGACGCAGTTTGCTGGGTCTGCCTTTGATCACAGCATAGCAAAACATTGTTATCACCATCACAAAGAGGAAGTAACTGGTGTGCATGAGGTGCAAATTTATTAATGAACGGTCATCCTAAATAAAAAAGAAAAACAGAAGCATCTGCAACTGAGTCACTGAATGGTTTCAACGCTGGCTTTCTGGAGACAGCATTCCCAACCTCTACACCTAATCAACTTGCCTGAGCTGGAACAGGAAGTCTCTCCTTTTGTCTCCAAACTGTAATAGCTGGCTCTCATTAAGTGAAGACGTGGTGTTCCTTATGACCTCCATGAGTAACCCATCTATCTGGCTTCCTCGGGCCCACACTGCCAAGCCTCACCACCCAAGTACCCGTCGTACAAAGGCTGCAGAGACTCACTTTTAACCCCTGCTCCTCCCTGGACGAGTCCTCGTCTCCAGGTTGAAGGCTGGCAACTACACTCACACCACTCCCTCCCCTGCCACTCCCACCACCCCTGCCTCAGGGCAGCTTCCATCCCCCAGCCCTCTCCCCATTTCTCTAAGTCCCTGGCTGAAGATGTGGAAGTCAGGTTGGACTCCTTCCTCTCTGACATGCAGCCAATCACCAGGCCTGCTGCAGTCCCCGTGATGTGGCCTTGGGTTCTCTCTCATTTACACAGAGCACAGCAGACAGTCTCCGAACACACCTGGCACAAAAGTACCTGCAGCCCCAACACGAGCAGAGCTGGCGAGGCAGGGCTTCTGGAAGCCCACCCGCCGTCCAGGCCCATCCCGCTGCCACTCCTGAGTTGTGACCCATGGCTTCCACAGCCTCACATAAAGGAACCACAGAAAAGGGACAGGGCCAGACTGAAAGAGGAGAAATCTACCTGACAGTGACAGAAGGAAGGAAAGGCACTGAGAACTCATCAGTGCCACCTGTGCAGCGCGGGTGCCCATCGAAGCGGGAAGCCGAGCTGGGACAGCAGTGCCCAAGAGTGGTCCTCCCTTCTCGAGGTCACACCCAGGCAGGCTGCCCTCTCTAGTCAGAGATTCACCTCCTGCTAGACTCACTTCAACCTCTCAAGCTCCACGCAGCACCATTCACACTATCCAGGATTCTGCTATGGGAGGAAGACTTCTCGTAAACTCTATGGGTTAGACAGAGCAGCTGCTCAAGAAATAACTGATGCTAAAGAAAACAGAAAATAAAGAACCAGATTTTCCTTAATGCTTTAAAAGGGTGGCCTGTTTTCCAAGTTTCCACCACTGCACTTGGTCACCCAGGCCCAGCCAGAGCCTACAGGGACAGGGAGGCGGCTAAGCCAGGGAGGCACACAGGGCCTGCATGCACACACACACAACTGTTCCTACTTACGTCTGGAACAATAACTGTAAGCTTGGGGTTTAAAGCATGATAGACTTTTCCAATGGCCCCCTTGTAACACCAGAAAGGATTGTAGTCTTGCGCGTATTTCGTGTTGGCATCACGGGCAGTCGTGAAGATCTTGTACCAGAGCGTGGCGTTGCTGTACGTGTCAGGAACACAGTGTGGAGGCTGTCTGCAGAGGAAGAGGGGGAAACGAGTGCTCAGTGACCTGACACATCCCCATGGGACCCCCCAGGGTAGGGACAGCGAACCAAGCAACAGGTGTACAAAGGAGAATACGACATTTCCAACAACACTGTGTTGTCTAGAATAAATACCATTATACTTTGAGTTTGAGGTTTTTGGGTTGTTGTTAATAAAACACAAAGAAGAAAAAAGATATAGGTCTCTGACATTGAGGAGTTTGGGTGCTGGATGTTGGATTTTTGCCTTCAAAACTCAACCCATGGTCCTCTCACATACAATGCAGCCAAAGAGGGCTCTGTTTCTTTTAGGTCAATTTTTCAAATTACCTAAATTCCTAGTTACAAATGGATGCTTTACATATGAACTTCTGCATCAGCTACTGTAACTCCAAATAATGTTTAACTTATCTCATCCTACAAACCTCTAACTGTCTAAGTAGATAAGCACCAGGATTTCAGCGTAATTCTTTTAAAGATTCCCCACAGAACTTTGCTAAGTAGACTACATCTCGCATATACTATGTCCTCCACAGAGAAAGGAGGGGTAAACTGATCAACACTGACTGTTCAAAAAAAAAGGATTTGTTTAATGGAAAACAAGGTTCAATTCATACTCTGAGTTAGTTAAAAACTAACTCTGGAAAATGAAAATGAACAAAAACTTTACGTTTAAGTAGCCTTGTTATGGGTCACTCTGGCTGGAGATCACAGCTCTTTTTTTCCTTTTTCCATCTCACATTTCTTCTGTTCTTGGAGGAAAGTCAGCCTACATACAACAGCGGCAGGATTTTGCCACCAGGTGGAAACACTAGCTTTCTGATATTTGTGTGCGGAAGTTCTACCATTAGAATTGCAAATTAAACTGTACAGAACCCTTTTTTACAAGGGTCCAATCACAGGCCACTCTAGAATGTAGCACAGTGCAGGTCATGCCGGGAATTTCCTGGCTGGTCCACTCCTGGCAGATGGGTGCAGCAGACACTTACACAGTGACAGGGAAGACATCAGGGGTGGCCGTGAGGGTCATGCAGGTTGTGAACACCACCTGCTCACAATGGCCATGAAGAGCACAGTCATCCGAGCTCCAAGCCGTGGGGAAGGTAAAGGTGATGTTTATTTCCTCGTGGGCTTCCCTGCCTGTGACAGGAGAAATTAGATTTTTAGTAAATACAGGCCAGAGTTCCTTATCATTCTCTGGAATTCAAATGAATCCCAACGCCAATCACCTGTGAGGCTGCCACATCCTGATGCCAACTATGAGGCCAGCTCGACACAGTGGAGTCCCAAGGTGGCCAACGGACAGCAGGCGGCACCCTGCTGGGAAGCCTGGGCTGGGGAGCAGCACCAGTTTCAGCACCTGCACAGCCCTCTCATCATCTCCAGTCTGCTTTTATATGTACCACTTCACTTAAAAGTTACCATTATTCCATGAATGTGACCACAGAAGGCCACAGTTCCCCTTTGATGCAAGTACAACCTGAGGATCTGAATGTCTTAACAGACTTAAGAAAGGTCAGGGGACCAATGTGTGATGAAGCCTAAACTACACCCAAGGGGTTCCAAGGCCAAACTATTTGCTCCATGCAAAACTCAGAGGTCACTGCACCTTGACACCACAGAGATGGCTTTTCCTCCGGGAGTCACTTGGAGACAGAGGGGCCGGCACTCACAAATTCCTTTAACAGCTTTGCGAAGGGAACTCTTTGAGGGCCAGGCCACTCATGTGAAACCTTTCCTGATGTTTCCAGCTTCCACAACTTCCCTGTCCTCCTGAATCACCCAGTCTGTCATGAGTGAGGCACTGGCCAAAGGACAGTGATCCATGTTTTGTAAGTTTCTACTTTTCCTATTAAATAGGCACTTAAATAGCACTGCCTTCATGCCAGGAACTCACTGTTAACTCATGTTGTTTTGGTCTTTTCTAAAATGCCAGAATTCCATGGGGAGAGACCAGATCCTAGGCTTTTTCTTCTAATATAGTGGTGAACTAATGGTGAGTGTTAAAAATATCATGCAGGCATGGAAGGACACTCCCCTTTGTGGGAGAGCACTACCCTGCAGACCTGAGACCCTGGATTTCATCCCCTGAAATGGACTGGGGAGAGGGGCAGATGTTCAGACAACACGATGACAACTAAGGCAATATGTGTATTTCTAGTTAAGTACCAAAAATTCCAACAGGATAAATCTGAGTAAAAATGACAGGTGTAAACACAGTTGGCCCTTCAACAATGTTAGGGTTAGGATGTAGCCTTAAATACAACTAGAATTGTTGACTTCCCAAAAATCTGACCTGCAGCTGGCTAGAAATCTTAATAGTAAGATCAACAGTCCATAAAACATTTTGCATGTTACCGGCATGGCACACAGAAGAAATCCAGAGAATCGGGTCCCTTTTTACTGCAATTCAACTGTGTTGTTCAACTGTTATTTTTGTGGCATTTTGATACTCATAACACCTGAGCTCCCAGCAGCAACAGCATAAGATGGCTATGAACTATTACAGGAGGATAGCATGACCAGAGCCAATTTCACACAGTTATGACCCAGTACCACCACCCCTTTACATTTGCTTACATTTCTTTCCATGGTGAACAGTGCCATGTACAGTCTGTTTATGTGTTAGGCTCTAAAAAATCCTAACTTTCTGAAACGCAGTGTGCATACTTTAAGGTAGTAAATGATTAAAACACAATTCACACGTATCTTTTTCTTTGTCTTTTTGAGACAGGGTCTCACTACGCAGTTCAGGCTGGCCTTGAGCTCACTTTGTAGCCCAGGCTGGTCTTGAACTGGCAACGATCCTCCTGCCTCAGCCTCCTGAGTACTGGGATTACAGGCATGCACCACCATGACCAGCTCCATATATCTTATGCATTCACAAAATACTTCTTACTGATTTTTTTCAATATTTCTAGGCTACAAGCTTATCTGCAAGTTTTTTTGAATTAGCACAAATTCTCAAAAAAAAAAAAAAAAAAAATCCAAGTATAAGTGGATCTGTGTAATTCAAACTGGGCATGGTGGCGCATGCCTATAACCCCAGCACTTGGGAGGCTGAGGCAGGAGAATCACCATGTGTTTGAGGCCAACCTGAGCTACACAGTGAGTTCAAGGCCAGCCTGAAACATGTAACAAGACCTTGTCTCAAGAAAAAAAAACCCTGTGTTGTTCAAATATTAAAGCTAGAAAGAGGCCTAGCAGCTTTCCAGTTTCTCTCTTTCTTTGGTGGTGCTGGGGATGGAAGCCAGGGCCTCACACACCAGGTGAACGCTCTACCACTGAGCTCCGTCCCAGCCCCGTCACTTTCCCACTCTTATGGGTGCATAGCGAGACTCCTGCACGGCAGACACTTTACTAAGTGAAGACATCCCAGGGGTTCCTTCTAAACTTCACACAGTTCGAGCTCAACATAAGACACACACATGAGGAAAGCACAAAGCAAGACTGCCCATACGCTATTCTTAGCTGGTGGTTCAGGATTCTGAAAGGAAAGGGGCCAACACTCGCTCACCTGAAAGTCCAATCTGATGTCCCAAAATGGTCGAATACAGATGGGTGACGTTGCGGGAGAAGCCGCCAAAGGGTTTGAGGGGGTCCAGGGTGAGGGTGATTACAACTGAGATGTTAACTGGGCCAGAGTCCTCCATGGCCTGGGGGGACTGGGTGGACACTCTGGCCTGCCCACTGGTCACTGTGCTCTCTGAGGCCGTGCTGTCGTTTGAGAGATGCTTTAATGTTTCATTTTCTGATACGCAGAAGTCCAAGTCATTAAACCGCAGCAGAAAAGTATTCCAGTCCTTGGGGAAAGCAAAGAGAAACAAACGTGAGCAGCCCTGAAGCCTCCCTCTGCAGGAATCCAGCAAGGACCTGCGGTGTGGCCTCACAGCAGGAGACATTCAGCCAGCCATTTCCCTGACAGGAGAGCGCAGCCACCCTCCTCGGGAACTGGCAGGACCGCGTGACTTTTCTAAGCACTCCCCTACTCATAATCTAAAACAGGAACTCTACAGCGGCATGAGGTAGTAAACACACTGTGCGACTGAACAGACTTGATCAGGAAAAACATGTTTAAACCCCACACAGACAAGAGAAAGGGGATACGGGGAAGGGACCGGGGGTGGGGATGAGCAGGACCCAAAAATGTTTTATGTATGGACAAAAATACCACAGTGAAAGCCCGTATTTTATAAAATAAGTGGTACCAATAAAAAGTGCATTATAGGGGCCGGGGATAGAGCTCAGTGGCTCAGCGCCTGCCTGGCAAGCTCAGGGTCCTGAGTTTGATTCCCGGTACCAAAACAAACAAGCAAACAAACAAACAAAAACCAAAAAAAAAGTATATTATACTTAAGAATTACCCAGCCTCAGAATCAAACTGAAAAGAAAGCTTGAGTGAAAGTAGTAAAGCATTTAAAACATTAATTCAAGTTCCTTTAGTGACTGTAACATAATAATTATAATTTTAAGTAATTCCTCAAAAGGTCAATTCCATACACCCTGCTTACTGTTCCTAGAACACAAATCAGCAGTAAATTCCAACACTTGTCCAGTACTTACTCCTCCCTGCCATGGACTTTGGACGTCACTTTGGAGCAGGAGCAGTTTGAAAACAACGGGCACAGAATGCTTGTAACTTTGTTGTTGTTTTTTCAGTACCAGGGATCCAATCCAAGGCCTCACACAGGCTACGCAAGGCTCTACCACTGGGCCACACTCCCAGCTCCTTCTCTTAGGATCATAACCCATGGTGACTAAATCATTAAGCTAGTTTTTCAAATACATACAATGAACTATGTCATGAGTAAACAGATGCTAACAAAGTAAAGGACTTGCCAAAGTCCATTTTCAATTTACAGAAAACCAGATGTGAACTCATACTCTACAAGAGAAAACACACCTTAGGCACACACTGGTGACAACAGCACTTTGGGAGGCTGACGCAGAAGGATCATGAGTTAGGTTTCCTCCTTAGCAATTTAGCAAGACCCTGTATCCAACTAAAAAACAGAAATAAAAAGGCCAGGGATGTAGCTCAGTGTGTGGCCCTGCGTTCAAAGCCCAATACTACAATCAATGAATCGATCAATCACTGATAGCAAACCTAACCTAGGCCGCTGGTACATACAACTTCTCCCAAGTTGCCAAACAGAAGACAAAAAAACCAATTACATATTTAATTACTCTAACAGTAGTGTTCATTTTTAAATGCCAATTAAGCAATCCCCGAACAGTCAAGTGATCTTTGCAGCATGAGTACAACTGAAAGTGACACTTAGCAAGCCTACAACTGGGCATATCAAGTCCCAGTTTCCCTGCCGCCTACAAACTCAGCAGACCATTCTAGTTCATCCATCTAACCCTTCATGCTGCAGACGTGAAGGAATTGAGGCCCACATCAAACCAGGCTTTTCTAATTCCACAGTGGAAGACAGAATCAGCAATAATTCCAACTCATACCTGACACTACACACTACTCTTTCCTACAAATCAGGAAACCACTAGGTTAACCATCTGAAAGTAAAACCACAAAATTAACATAACCAAGGTTCTGTAGCATCTTAGCTTTACTTTACTGCAAAGCTTGAGTCCATGTTAAAAAGCCAGCCAAAGCCAACACCAGGTACCGTTTTATTAAGGGCTAATTATCCAGGCTACATCTCTTAGCCAGTGGCCTTGGTCAAATGTTCAAGACAGACTCAAGGTCTATGAGAAAGAAATGCCAGAATGCTGCCAAGCTCTGGCTGTGACCAGCATCTTCATTTTCTCCCCTAACATGGGTGCAGTTAAGGATTCAGTCAGGTCAGAAAAGAGCAAGAATTAAACCAGCTAGCAAGATTCTTGGTAAGAACCTCTTCGGAAGGGTTTCATGACCAAAATAACTCAAACTTGTTCCTTTAACTATGTCAAGACACAGTTCACAAGACTATTCCTCCCACCAAAATCAGCTATGACCTAGAATGTCACAGAGCGCAAGAGAAAGCCATGAAACCGATGACACAGAACTCTCCTGTCCATGCGAGGCACGCACGTGCACGCACACACACAACACAGCTGCCCCACAGTCCCAAGCCCTCTCCCCACTCCCCACAGCAAACCAACCCAGAAGAAAAAGTGCAAGAGGAGGCACTCAGGGAGTCTAGTAAGATGGGAACTAACATATACTACAAGAAACTCTGCCAGTCAATTCACCATATCATTAATTCAGCATAATTCCTAATATACAGATTTATGAGTAAGTATATTATTATCTACTTCTCTTACACAAGAATTACTAAATTGTTATTGTTTTCTAATATGTCAAACATACATTTAATATTCGCACTATGTGTTCAATTATAATATACCTAGCTTATACTATGATAAAAACAGCACAGTACTGGCAAAAAAAAAAACAGACCGAGGATCAATGGAACAGATTAGAAGATGCAGAAATAACTCCAGACATACTCAGCCAACTTATCTTTGACAAAGGAGCCAAATACATTCACTGGAAAAAAGACAGCCTCTTTAATAAATAGTGCTGGGAAAGCTAACTTTCCATATACTGAAGATTAAAACTAGACCCCTTTCTTTCACCATGCATTAAACTTAAATTGAAATGGATCAAAGATCTAAATATTAAAACAGAAACATTAAATCTAATGGAAGACAGAATTGGTAGAACTCTTTAAGGCACTGGTGTAGGCAAAGGCTTCATGAATAAAACCCTGACTGCACTGGAAATATCACAGAGAATCAACAATTGGGATCTCATTAAAAAGCTTTTGCATAGCAAATGAAATCACCAACAGAATGAAAAGGCACCCCACAGGGTGGGAAAAAATTTTTGCCAGCTGTTTCTCGGACAAAGGACTAATATCTGTAACATATAAAGAACTGAAAAAAATCAGGCCCCCACATTTAAATACCCAATCCAAAAATGGACATCTGAGAGGCTCCCGAAGGGAGGGCCCCCAGCGCATGGGGAGCCTCGGGCGGGGAGCGCTGGTCTTCCAGCTGGCTAGCTTCCTGCCTCGTAGGCTCCCACATGGGGAGCCATGCGGCCGTGAGCACTGTTGCACGCCGGCCCTTAGGCCGGCTGCCACCGCTCAGTTGGGATCTATCATGACACACAGAAACAGTGGCACAATTGGCCCACCATGGACTGACTGCAGTTGCCCACCCATGCGTGTGAATCATTCAAACTTTGAACAACCCCTGGGAATACATGCCATACAACGGGCCACTCTTGCTCCTGCCATTAAGAACTGGAAAGGTCCAGAGCCAGCGGAGGAGCAGCTGCTGAACAAGGACTCAGAGAACATGAGAATGCAGACTAAGCCTACGGAGTCAGAGGTCCAGTGGACTGGGGTCACGAG